AAGGAAGAAATGAAGGAAGGATGAAATTGTTTCACGTTGGAGCGACTGGAAATGACCAGCAGAACAACTGCGAATTGTGTACAGAGACACACGAGAATGTAATCGGTTTGTAGAAATGGATGTCGAATCTAGATGGAGGGTTGTGCGGCAACGAAGGCTATGCTTTAATTGTTTAGGTCGTAGCCATAGAAGCAACAAGTACCAAAAAACACAAATGCTCTGCGACGAATTGTTTGAAGAAAGTTCGAGAATTGTTACACGCAGCCGAACAAAGAAATGCAAATGGAGCACGGCCTCAAGACGTATCAAGGCAACCAGTGTTTACTAACGCGGTCGCTCAGCAACAAAACGTAAATATTATTTTCAAAATTTTGCCGGTGAAATTATATGCGAATGGTAGGGAGGTAACGTGTTACGCGTTTATTGATGAAGGCTCCGCAGTGACGTTGATGAACAAAAGATTGGCAGACCAGCTTGGCTTAAAGGGTAGCAAGGAAAAGCTGACACTGCAATGGTTTGGCAACAATTCCGTAACTCAAATGGTTTTATCAAGTAGTATTAAGATTTCAGGCTCTGATCCAAATAGCAGGCGATTCTGCATGAAGAGCGTTAAGGTCGTTGAGGACTTACAGTTACAAAGCAAACGTTGAATGTGTCGGAGCTTCACTGGAAATATCGATACTCGAAACAGCTACCACTTGCCAACTACGAAGCGGTGATACCAGAGCTGTTGATTGGTCTCGATAGTGCGCATTTGGGTGTGGCAAAGCGAGTTGCTGCTGATGGAAGGCGTGGACCCACAGTGGTACTGACGAAATTTGGTTGGGTACTTTATGGTCCAAGCAAAGCAAACTCCACATCTGTTAGTCACCATTCCTTATTTGTGCACATCAGCAGCGAATCGAAGCTGGAACAGCTAGTAGAGGACTTCATTGCGAATGACAATATGCAGGTTAGTGGCGTACACAATCACGTAGAGAGCGCGGCGGTAGCGAGAGCCAACTATTTACTCAACACAACGACGGGTCGCCTATGGAAAAGTGATGACGTGGTTCTCCCGGATAGCAGGAGCATGGCAGAGAAGTGGCTCATGGCACTGGAGCGAAAATTTAGCAACAATACAGATTTATGAGAACAATACATGCAGGTTATGGCTGAGTACCAGGAAAAAGCCTACGTAAGGCGTTTGAGTGAGGCGGAAGCACAGCAGCGGGCCCGAAGAACCTGGTACTTACCACATTTTGGAGTGCGCAGCTTAAACAAACCAGAAAAGCTGCGATTAGTATTTGACGCTGCAGCTGAAACAGATGGCGTTTCTCTAAATTCAGCCCTGCTAAGCGGACCTGACTTGGGTCAACCGCTAACGATGGTTTTAATGAAATTCAGGCAGAAACCAATTGGAGTTTGTGCAGATGTGGTAGAGATGTTCCATCAGGTGCGGATACAACGCCAGGATCAAGATGAACAACGGTTCCTGTGGAGAAGGAAACCAGCGGCACCCGTTGTGGACTACGTGATGACGGTGATGACATTTGTTCGCCATGCTCAGCCCAGTTCGTGTAGCGTACTGCAGGATCAACAGCGAGTGCGGTCCAATACGTTTGGCGTTCGTCATGGGCAAACGACGTGCCCGCCACTAAAGCTAACAACGGTTCTGCGTTTAGTGCTACAAGCCGCCATTCTGGCAACGCGACTTCGTGAAGCTATACTACAAAATCACGACGTAATACCGGTGAGAACAATTATGTGGAGTGACTCTAAAACCACATTAGCTTGGATAACATCCGACCACCGGCGCTATAAGCCTTACGTAGCTCATCGAGTAAACGAGATCCTAGAGAGCAGCCAAGTGACAGAGTGGAGGTGGTTGCGAAGTGCATGCAATCCAGCTGATTTTGCAACGCGTTTGCGAAGGGGGAAACGTGAATCCTTTTGGGCGAAAGGACCAGATTTTTTACTTCAGAACGAATCCGAGTGGCCAGCAGTAGTGACCCATGCACGAACCCAAGAGGAGCTCCTAGCAAAATTCGTCTTTCACTTTAGCCTAAGCTATAAGATATATTTAAAAGATTTTCTTGTTTTATTCGTATGAAAAGAGTTATAGGATGGGTATTGCGTTTTCGCAAAAAACAGTCTGCAAAGGCATACGATCCTAAAGGAGTACGGGCATTTGACCGTCGCTGAATTGGAAGCATCGGAATTGCTAATTTGTCGAGCGGTGCAAATGAGCGCGTATCCAGAAGAATATGAAACCCTGAGCGCGGGAGGACAACTGCAGCGTAGTAGTAAATTGTGGAAACTTACACCATATGTGGACGAAAAGGGAGTCATTCGCATAAAAGGTCGAATTGATGCGGCCGAGGAAATTCCTTTTCAGAGTCGTAGGCCAATCATGCTCCCCAAGCAACACCACGTGACGGACTTAGTAGTTATGAGCTATCATCGTAGAACGAAAACCAGAATGAAGAGACCGTCATCGCTGAGAGTCGTCGAAGGTTTTGGGTTCCCCACATTCGAGTAGCCGTGCGGTGCGCAGCAAAAATGTGTCAGAGGATAGACTGACGCATTTTCTGCGACCATTTTCTTATGTCGGCTTGGATTATATGGGCCTGTTTTTGTGACGATAGGGCGTCGTAGAGAAAAGCGATGTATCGCGTTATTCACGTGTTTAACGACGCGTGCTATACACTTGGAGATCGCCAGAGAGCTCAGCACCGACACATGCTTGCTATGTATCCGTAATTTTATGAGCAGACGTGGTATCCCGGTTCGCATACGATCCGATAATGCCACCAACTTCATTGGCGCGGACAAGGAATTACAGCGGAAAAATTCCGACTGTTGGGAGAGACTAAAGCGCAGTGTCAAACGAGCGATGGGACACGCACTATACAATGAGAACATACAAGAGCATAGTTTGTTGTACAGTCATGTGTGAAGCGGAAAATTTAGTCAATAGCCGCCCCCCTAACACATCCCATTGGAAACGCCCACCGACGAACCCATAACACCTAATCATTTTCTTATAGGTACGGCCAATTCGGAACAGACTCCTCATCCGCGAGAAGAAGAATGCAGAGTTTCCAG